CTTGATGCTAGGGGTTTTTTTTTCTCTAAGAATATAGAAGGAAGTCAGAGGTTATCCAGTTTTATTCTACCTTTTATATAAAAAAGGAAAGTGTGGTTACATTCCTGACTTACTCAAATACAGGTCTAATGTGAAACTGAATACCCTTTGTATTTGTTGAGGTATTAGAAATAGATAAGAAAACTTCTGCTGTTATTGAAATAATTTATTATTTCTTCATTATTAAGTATCTTTTGGTTATTGTTTCTCAGACTTAATAATTATCCTATATTAAGTTTTCTTTTGTAGATTGCAGGTGCCAATCAGAGTAAGCTTATTCTTTAGCAGTAGGTACTTGTGACATCCATTGAGTATTGAAAACTAAATGCTCTTCAAAATAGAGCTGTTTTATACGTGTAGAAATATGTTTTCACATTAAACTTAAATGTCATGAAAACCGTTGCAAGCTTTTCTTCATATTTTGTGTGATTGAAGATTCTAGTTGTGATGATGCCGTTGACAGAAACATTTGAGATTTATCAGTTTCTCAGTCTGTTTAATGTGGTTTATGAATGACATTTCATTTTAATTAGTGTGTACGGTAGTCGAAGCCAAGGATTTACGGAAGTATTTTTACAATTAAGAAACTAGCAAATTTGTGATGTCATGAGTAGTTGGTAAGACCCGCATGTTGTTGATGTTGATTGTGGACATTATTATGTAGCATATCTCTATAAAACTGATGCTATTGATTTCATTTATATAGTAGCTACAACTATTTTATGCTAAGGATTATGCTGGATTAAATGGACAATAGTTACTGGGTTGTTCTTTTTGAAATTAGCACTGGTCCAGCCTCGCTAAGTGTGCTTCCAGCATTGGGTTAACAGTGTATATGCACTAGCTCATCTAAAATTAGGAGCAAATGAAATGCATTTTTTTTCCTCTCAATAGTAAAGAAATGATCAAGTGTATCTGTATTTCACAGAATGAGGCATCAGAGAATTTTTCCTTTATGTTTCTGATGGCCAAAACCTGGAGGCGTCTGAGAGCTGGCTTCATTTAGAGTCTTTCTAGATTTCCATATAATGTTGAGCATGCATTAAATTGTGCATACTGATTTGGCGATCAGGAAAGCTTATCATACTCTAGCTCCATCTTTCCTGCCTGGTCTGCCAGGAAGCTATGAGAAGATGTAGTACAGCTGGCTATTCTGGCTTTGAGCCATGTAGGGATTTGCCTACATAACAGGAATTCCCAGCTTCCCCTCGAAAAGAACAGTTTCCAAGGCAGACGTGCTAAAATAAAAGGCAGGATCTGATTAATCCATAAACTTTATCTTTTTCTCCAAAATGAGAAATTTCTATACTTGTGCTATACTCATGTCCATAGTCATCCT